TTAAAAAATTAGTGAAATTAAAATTTAACCGAAGATTTAAATTCCATGTAATGCAATTAGGAAAAGAATAGCAATTAATGAAAGGAAAATAGAACAAGGAAGTAACCACATTTGACTATATCTAGGCTCCTTTAATGGCAAGGACTTTATTATCTTTTTATTTTATTTCCAGTTCTTGATAAATGTTTATTTTTTCATGAATCTAAGAAGTATTTTAAAAGAATGATTAATCTATAAAATTATAGCTCTATTTGGAAAGCAAAAGTTTAGATCTGTATATAAATAGGGTACAGAAAATTCTAACTGGATGATAAAATTAGAAGAAATATATTTATCTCAGCTTTCAAGGAAGATAAATTTTTATCAATAAATGATTTAGAAGTAGTCTGAGTAATATTTTTTTGAGAATTTTTAAGGATAAAGTTCATAAAAACTTACAAAAATAAAAAATGTCAGAAAGAAAAAAGAAGTATCATAAATGTAATGTGTTGTCTAGAATCTAAAAGGTATTGGATACAAGTTTTTAAAGGTAATACCAAATAGAAATGAATGGTTAGAAGGACCTGAATAGACTGTTTATAGAGGAGGAAACACAAATTAAAAATGATTATCTTAAAATTGTTCCGTTTCTAATGAATATTAACTAGAACAATTGAGATAACTCCTTCATGCTATTCAATTGGCTAAAATTAATAAAAATAAAAGGCTCTGTTTTGGGGAGCTTTGGTGTACAAGTACACTTGTTGATTAAATTGCAAAATTAATGTGACATTTCTGAAATATAATCCGGCAACATATAAGACTGATCAAACCCTTTGATTTTGTTTTCCATTCTTGAGAATATGTTTTGATACTTGAACACATCTTTGATCTCATTGAGGTAGCTACTTCTTCCACTCTAACAGATCATAATAAGCCATCTAGTTGTCATGCAGTGGACCCTTGTCGGTGGTGCTTGAAACATGTTTATGACCTTCCTCTTGATTTCTTGCTACTTCCTTTTGTGATTGGCAATATTTTGTAGTGTACTTCTTTTTAATTAAATCTCCCTGACAAAGGAGGGATATATTGGGGATATATAATAAATGGAGATTTAATTAAAGAGTAATAATATATATTATACTATATATTATGTAATATATAGTATGTAATAATATATAATAATTGGAGATATATGATAAATGGAGATTCAATTAAAGAGTAATAAAAAGTCATCTCTTTTTTAAAAAAGAAAAAAAAACATTCCAAGCTGCCTTGTAATGATGGTGAATTTTAAAACATTTCTTTGTCCAGCAGTTGGGCCATGGCTTAATACATTGTTACAATATAATGGAATTATTTTATGCCATTAAAATGATCGAGATTAGGAATATAAAGAGATGTGAAAAAACAATTAAATAATACAAAGCAAAGAAAGCAGAACTAGAAAAATAGTATACAGGTGTAGCCAATGTTAGGTAAGGTTTAAGGAAGGAAAAGTCAGTGCTGATTGTAGGGATTGGGGAAAGATTCATAAAGGTGATAGCATTTAATCTTGGCTTTAGAGATAGGTAGTAATTAAGTTGCAGGGTAGGGAGTAATAGGGAACCACTTGTGATTTAGAGGTTGGGAACAATGATGAAAATATTTGGTGCAGGGAACTGTATGTGTGTAATGGTAACATTGTATAAACCAATTTTACTATAGTATGGAGGAGTGTTAATATGTTACCAGATTATAAAGGGCTTTAAAGACTAAGTTTAGGAGTTTGAAGTTATTCAGTAGGCAAGACCTGGATGTTGTGCCAGAAAAGTTTTGCCTGATCTATTCGTTTTTTTCAAGACATACTTAACACCTAATATTCCAAAGTTCTGTGCTGGCTGTTGAGAATGATATAGGAATAGATATTATCAAGTCTTTGCCATTAAGAAACTTAAAAATGTCTTGTAATATAAAATAAGTACCGTAAGAAAGAGATAATGTATTTTGAGAGTTCTGGGGGGGAAGGCGGGGAAGAGGTTTATTCCTATTTGAGAAGAGAGGAGAGGCTTTTTGAGTGTTTTTGAAGCATGGGAGTAGTATTTTTCAAAAATCTTAGTCCTAGATCTGGGGTTGGAAGGAACCATCCCTAAGGCCATCTAGTCCAAATCCCTCTGTTTACAGAGAAGGAAACTGAAAGTTTTGTAAGTAATGACTAACAACCAGAAATTAAATTCAAGACTTTGGTCTCTAAGTCCTCTGCTTTCCATTGCATCATATTGCCTTTCCATATGAGGGTGAGTCGAGTCAAAATGGTAAGCATTTATTGGATACCTCCTGTGTGCCAGATAACTGTGTTAAGTACTAGAGGCTACCAAAAAAAGGACAAAAACAGTCCTTTCAAAAAGCATAAAATCTAATGGGAGAGGCAGCTATGTACAATCAAGATATATACAGGATAAATTGGAGATAATTTTAGAGAGATCATTATCATTTATGAGAGTAGGAAAGTCTTATTATAGGTCAGAATTTAGCTGAAATTTGACAGAAGCTAGGGAAGCCAAGAGGTGGAGATGAATAGAGAGAATTCCAGCCTTGGGGGATGTCCAGTGACAATGCCTAGAGTGAGGAGATGGCTTGATTTCTGTGATGAAATAACAAGGGCTAATATCCCTGTATCATAAAGTATTCAGGGGAGTGGCTTGAAAAAGGGCTAAGACTGGTGTCAAATCGCATGGGGTCTTGAATACTAAGGATTTTGAGTTCATTCATTAAGGATTTATTGAGGATATTTGTATTTTAGAGGGGCATTATTAGATTTGTGTATATGGAAAAATAAACTGGTAGTGGCTGAAAGGATAAATTGCAGAGGGAAGAGATTTGAGCCAGGGAAACTGGATAATATATTATTGGAAAAGCATAAGTAAGAAGTTATTGCCAACTGGTCTTCATTGTTGACAGTGGAATTAGAAATGAGCTGATGTAGCAATTGGTTAAATGTAGTTCTTGGGGGTGAGGTGGAGGTGGTGGGGTTAGACTAAAAGGTGACAGAGATTTTTATCTTGAATAAATGGGGAAATGATGGGCACAAATAAGGACATCTGGAAGGAGGAAGAATAGATTTTTGTGAAAAGATATATGTGAATTCAGTTATATGTGTGATGAAATAAGGGTGTTGACCAAGGGTAGTCTGGTGCAATAGTGTAGTAGGCTGTTGGAAATGTGAATTTGGAGTCCCAGTGATATATTTGAGCTAGTTAATAGTTGAAATCTTAAAAGTTAAAGGTTTGGAAATATGAAGAGTGATAGAAACATAAGAAAAGAGGACTGAAGGATCCAGCTTTGGAAAGTGCCTGCAGTAGGGTCAGCCAGAGGAAGAATAGCTTGTGATATGTTAATTGTTTTCAGAACAGGTTCTTATTCTTGGTCTCTGGTGCAGTTTCTGGGCAACTAGGTAGCACAGTGGATTGAGTACCTGGTCTGGAGCCAGGAAGACTTATCTTTGTGAGTTCAATCTGGCCTCAGACACTTACTGTGTCTGTGGGACGCTGGGCAAGTTGCTTAACTTCTTTTGCCTCAGTTTCCTTATCTGTCAGATGAGCTGGAGAAGGAAATGGCAAACCATTCCAGCATCTTGGCCAAGAAAATCCCAAATAGCGTCATGAAGAGTTTGGACATGACTAAAACAATTGAACAACAGTATAGTTTCCAACACATCTTTTTATCATTTTGATACTTGTCTCTTAGCTTATGCTATAATTAATGAACTATGTTGGTTGGATTGCTTTATATGAAGTCCTGTGACTGTTCTACACTTTGATTTGGAATTATGAAACAAAAAATGACTAAATTATTGTAACCATTGACCCAACAATCTCATATATATGTATATATTTGTGTGTATGGATGTATATGTGTGTGTGTGTGTGTGTGTGTGTACACACACCCATATACATACACACATATGAATCAGGCAAATGAAAGACAAAATCAAAGGTGTAAAATCAAAATAATCATAGTAGCACTTTTTGTGGTTACTAGAAACAAAGTTGTGCCATTTGGGAAATGGTTGAAAAAAGCTATGGTATAAGAATATATATTACTGTATGGTTGAACTCCTTAGAAAGGGTGAAAAATCCTCAAGAAGAGATGAGGAAGCATGCCTCTTCCCTCATAGACGTATGGGGATGGTTGGAATATTGTGTGCACTGTCAGATAAGGTTTCTGTGTTTGTTTTACTTAATTTTTTTTCTTTGTCACGAAGAGGGGTTGAGTTCATTTTGGGAATGGGTGGGAAATGACTAATATTAAAGTCTAAGCCATCAAGAAATGTTCAGAGTATGTTTTACTTTGGAAGATATATTTTGACTATTGTGATGCCTTGGATTGTTGACTTAACTTTGGGAAATCATATCTGGAATAGCAGAAGACTAAATGAGAATACAGAGGAGGGCTATATAAGCCACCACGTGGCTAAGAGGGTCAACCATCATATGTCTCCCAATATCTGATATGTAGCTGGATAGGTGAGTCATTTGGGACAGGTGTGTTACTTAACATTGACAAGATTATATAAATGAGGTCATTAAATTTTATGGTGTTCAAAAATACATTGATGTTCACATTTTGTGACTAATGAAAAGAAGATAATTTGAGTCTGAGAATTCTGATATGCCAGTTATAAAATAATGTGACAACAGGCCTTTTTAAAATGTAGGAAATTGGGGCAGCTAGGTGGCTCAGTGGATAGAGCATAGGCCCTGAAGTCAGGAGGACCTGAGTTCAAATTCAGGCTCAGACCAAACAATGGACACTTACTAGTGCTGTGACCCTGGGCAAGTCACTTAACCCCAATTGCCTTTAAAAAGAAAAAATGGAAGAAATTTTGTTGGCTTGAATGATACTGGGAAGGAACCCAAGCTGACATTTGAACTTTTTACTTTGTACTAATAAGATTTGGAATCTTACCAGAAATATTTCATTGCCTTAATGGTTTTTGTTGTAATATGTTGTTCCTTTGTCTTTTTTTTTTATTTTAACAGATTTACCTTTGAGGTTAATTTCATAAAAAAAATCTTTGAAGAAGCTGCACCTCTCTCAGAACTCTTATCCCATTAAAAAACTGCTGCAACAATGATTACATCAGAGTTGCCAGTGTTACAGTGAGTATTGTAGTTTTCTTACTTTCTTTTTCTAATAGTATTTTTTCAAATTATATGTAAAGCAATTTTTAGCATTTATTTTTATAAAATTTTGAGTTCCAAATTTTTCTTCCTCCATCCCCTCCCTTCTTCTTAAAATGGCAAGCAGTTTGATATAGGTTATATATGTGCAATCATATAAAGCATTTCCATATTAGTCGTAATCATAAAAGAAGAAATATACCAGAAGGGAAAAACCAGGAAAAAAAAAATTAAGAAATTGAAAATAGCATGCTTTGATCAACCTTCAGAGTCAATCAGTTCTTTCTGTGGATGTAGATAACGTTTTCTATCATGAGTCCTTTGTAATTGTCTCGGATCATTGTATTGCTGAGAATTTGCTGAGAAGAACTAAGTCATAATTGATCATCACACAATATTGCTGTTGAAACTGTGTACAATGTTCTCCTGTTTCTGCTCATTTCACTTTGTATCAATTCATAAAAGTCTTTCCAGGTTTTTCTGAAATCTGCCTGCTCTTCATTTCTTACAGCACAATAGTATTCCATTACATTGATATGCCACAGTTTGTTCTGCCATTCCACAGTTGATTAGTATCCTCTCAATTTCTAATTTTTTGCCACCACAAAAAGAGCTGCTGTAAGTATTTTTTGTAATTGTAAGTCTTTTCCCTTTTTTATGCTGTCTTTGAGATATAGACCTAGTAGTACTATTGCTGGATCAAAGAGTATGCACAGTTTGGTTGCCCTTTAGGCATCGTTCTGTTTTCTTACCTTCAATGAAATAACTGTTAAAGGAAATCTTGTTAAATTAAAGATATTACCTACTTTTTGAGAGGATATTTTTATCGAATAAAGTTGACTGTGAAATAAACGATATAGTTCTAGGCTTCTTAGTAATGAAAAACTACCTCTAACACTTAAATCCTGCCTCTAAAACTTAAAAAAAAATTATTTTTATTTATTTCATTAAATATTTTCCAATTACATGTAAAAAATTATAACAATCTTTTAAAAATTTTTGAGTTCCAAATTCTCTCCTGTCACTCCTTGAGAAGGCAAACAGTTTGATTTCAGTTATACATGTAAGGTCATGCAAAACATTTTCATATTAGCCTTGTTGCAAAAGAAAGCACAAAGCAATAAAGATAAAAAAATTTAAAAAAAAATTTTTGCTTTAGTCCACATTCAAAGTTCATCACTTCTGTCTCTGGAGGTGGGTAGCATTTTTTATCATGGGTTCTTTGGAGTTGTCTTAGATCATTGATTTGATCAAAATAGCTAATCTTTCACAGTTGATCATCCTTAAGATATTGCTGTTACTGTGTAGAATGATCTCCTGGTTCTTCTCACTTCATATAAGTCTTCCCAGGTTCTTCTGAAATTATCTTGTTCATCATTTCTTATAATACAGTTGTATTCTATCACAATCATAACTTGTTCAGCCATTCACCAAATGATGCTGCCTCTGACATTTGATAAGTATGTGCCATAGATAAGTCACTTAATCTCTTTGAGAATCGGTTTTTTGGTCTGTTAAACAGGAATAGTACCTGTAGTACCTACCTTACAGATTTGTTTTAAGGCTCAAATAAAACAGTACATGTAAGGTGCTTTAGAAACCTTAATGTACCATGTAAATGTCTGCTATATTTATTATTAGAATTGTTAGCCTAACAGAACTTTGCATAATAATACATGTTAAATTTTCTCTCTGTATCTAAATTTTATATCTTGAATTTTCTCTTCCCTATTTCAGCTGAAAAATACAAATAACTGTTTCGAGTCCTGCAGTTGTTTTCTCTTTAAAACAAAATGCTTTCCTAAGGACAGATTTGATGAGGATGGATGCCTAAATGAAGCAGTTATTCATAGAGTTGTTGAACATATAGCCATTTTCCGTCATCTGCCCAAAGCTTAAGGGTAGCTTTTTATGTGATTGGACGAAATAGCAAACATAGTTAAAGAACATTTAATTTGTTAAACTTAGGTTACCTTAGATGTGATTAAATAATTATACAATTAAATTTAAAAAATTTAAATAATTAAATATAAATGTAAATATAAAAATAAATTTAAGTAATTAAATAAAAATAAAATAAAATCATGATTAAAATATTAAGGATTTATTAATATTTGAATCAGTTTCAGAAAAATGTTATTTTACAGTATACAAAATATTGAACTCATTAAATATTAAGAGCCTGCCTATGGGCAGGGTTTCTGCCCTCAAGAAGTTTATACTCTATTAGTAGTATGACACATTTTACATTTGGTATAGTATGTTGCAGAGACTGAATTACAAGTAGTAGAAGATTATCAGCATTATCACCTCATAAAGCAGAAGCAATGTAGGATAAAAACAATTTAAAGAATGAATGCTTGGCAAAAGACTCAACTAAACAAAGTTACACCAAGGCCATTTAGAAAATGAAAGTGGAATGAGAACAACAACTCAGAAGAAAAATTGAAAAGGTGTACAATGATTTTAATAATAAACTCTTTGCTATACCATCAAAGATAGTGGGGCCAGCAACTGAGACTTTTCCCACTTTGGGTTTAATAGCCAGTGGAGATCTGTTAATGAACAGTATCAAGGGTAGTGGTAATAATCTCTCAGTAGCAGCTGGTGAAGTGGTAGCCCAGGGGTAAACTTTGCCGCTTATTGTTTATGGTTACTAAGCACATTAATATGATGTGGTTCATTCAACATATTGAGTTTCTGATAAAACATGCATATATTTCCATTTTAAAAAGAATTAAGGTTGACCTGTACCCTAGATATGATTAGGCTCTACTACCTATAGAAAAGAGATTTCAAAATTCAGTTTGAAAAGAGATGACAAGATATTTTTACAGTAGACATGTACTATTTCTTGGGCATGTAAAAATTTGTGGAGGTTTGGGTACAGGAAAAAAAAGAGTTCAGAATGCGATATAATTACCTACATTTATTTTATGATTATTTAAACACATGCTTCACCCTGGTTTTGTGCAACCACTCACTACCTTTCTTCCTGCATTTGCACATTATGCTTCCTTTTGGTATTTGTTATGAAACGCCCCAGCATATGTAGGCTATAACTAATAACTTTTTAAAATGGAAATTTTAAACTGGATGCCTGTTTAAGATATTTTCATTGTAACTTCATTTCAAGGTAGGTAGATCGTTTGGTTGGTCCTTCTGCTTTTATTTTTGATTCCTTGCTGATTTTATAATTCTGTAATATCTTTTCATGTCAATGCCCTCCTTAAATCTTTACAATAATTAATTTTTTATTTATCTGTACTAATATGTTTGACCATTGACCTAACATAATCTCTTTTTTTTTTTTTACATTTTTTTTTCTTTTTTAGGCAGTTGGGGTTAAGTGACTTGCCCAGGGTCACACAGCTAGTAAGTGTCAAGTGTTTGGTCTGAGCCAGATTTGAACTCAGGTCCTCCTGACTTCAGGGCCAGTTCTCTATCCACTGCGCCACCTAGCTGCCCCTTAACATAATCCTTGCACAAAATATGAACCTAATAAATTTTTGTTGAATTTAGTCAGTTCTGCAGCAGACATTACAGGAAGCACATCTGAAATATAAAACAGACTTCATTCTTCATATGCTTACAGTACAGTTGAGAGAAAACACACACACACACACACACACACACACACACATACATACATACATACATACATACATTATATATCAAAGTCCAAGTTGGTTTGTAATGTGGTGCCAAATGAAGTGTTAAAGTCAGTAAGTGCTATCAAACCACTGTGAGCTGGAAGAGTCTGAGCAGGCCTCAGGGATTGTTATGTTTATATGGCAAGATTTAAAGTAGAAGAAAAAAGATATTCACAGTATAAGAGCAAAGATGGGGAATCATTTTGTGTTAATGGGAAGGCAAGGAGATTGTCCTTCAAACAGTATAGGTCTTTTAGCAGGGTAGAGTTTAGAGGTAGGGAATACTTATAGATAATCAAAACTGAGGTTTTTTCTCTCATTCCTCCTAAATTGGCATTCCAACTATCACTTATCTTCAGTCTCTTCCTGTCTACCAGCTCCTTCGCTACTGCCTATAAATATTACAATGTCTCTCCCATCCTCAAAAATTTTCTCATTTTCTTCTTCCTTCACCAAGAGCTCTCATCCTATATCTCTTCTGCCCCTTGTGGCTAACTTCCTTGAAGACTGTTTAGTATAGGTTCCTCTACTTTCTATCTACCCTCCCCCCCAACCCAGTTTCTGACCTCATCATTCCACTGAAACTCTCTCAACTAAATTATCAGTAATCTTGTAATTGCCGAATCCAGTGCCTTTTCTCAGTCCTCATTCTTCTTGACCTCTCTGCAGCATTTGAAGCTCAGTAAGAAGCTAAGTGTTAATTATTCTCTTCTTGATACTCTTTTCTTTTTAGATTTTTGGGCTACTATCTTAGAGTTCTCCTGCTACCCTTCAGACCACTCCTTCTTAGCCTCATCTGTTGGATCCTTAACAGGTCAGATCTTCTGTCATGCCCCAAGGGCTCTGTCCTGGTCACTCTTCACAGTTCTGCTTGGTGATCTTATCAGCTCCCATGGATTTAATAAACATCTTTATTATCTTGCCCCAGCATTTCTACCAACCTCCAGGCTCTCATCTCCAGCTGCCTTTTAGACATCTCAAACTGAAAATCCCATAGACATTTTAAACTCAAAGTGTTCAGAACTTTCCCCCTAAACCCTTCTTCATTCCATACTTCATTACTGTGGAGGGTAACACCATTCTCTTTTTCCCCTCGGCTTCCAACCTAGGAGTCATCTTGTGTTCCTCACTCTCTCTCACCCCCTATATCCCAGCTGTTGCCAAGGCCTGTCAATTTCACCTTTGCTACATCCCTCCAATACTCCCCCTTCTCTACTCTGACACTGCCACCATTCTAGTGCATGCCCTCATCCCCTCATACCTGGACTATTGCAATAACCTGGTAGGTCTGTCTGCCTTCTTCCCACTCCAATTCATCATTCATCC